AAAAAAAAAAAAAAAACCCTAAATCAGAACTAAAGTCCAACTAACGGGCCTTCCTCCCGTATTCGGTAAGTTGCTGTCCTCACACCCCTGCAACTTTCGCTCGTCCGATTGAATGTCTGGTCGTTTCTTTCCATCGGTCCAGACGGCCCTCGTCCCTTCTTATTTTATTATTTGACTTACGCTTTCCCTCCTCTTCCTTCCGTTCTACTTATTTCTCCTTTCTCCATCTTGCACGGTCCTAAATCGTCAAGTCGTTGTTTTGTTCTAGCCAGCAGTGCTGTGCGCATCGTGTCTTCTGTTCTCCCTTGAAATCCCTTGCGCGGTTTCATATATATTCATCTCCACGTCCAGCTAGCTGGATTCACTTTTCCTCTTTTAACCTCACTTGTTAATTCTCTGTCGCATCAGACATCAATTGGACCTATTGTGAATAGATCCTTCAATCCGTGAGCATCATGGCCGCCCAAGAAAACCCCCAAGCGTTCGAAAAGGACTTCGGAAACAACTCCGATGGCATCAATGGAGCTGCTCCCACCCACCAGCTGTCCGCTGAGGACACAGCTAGGGCTGCTGCGCGCTTCGGATATGGTCCTCTCGCTCACGTCAACACCGCTGAGGCTCAACTCCGTCCCTTCGGTGGTGAGTTCCAACCTGGTCTATACAAGTCTGTCGAGCACCGCAAGTTCGGTAACCCAGCCCCTCTGGGCCTGTCTGCTTTCGCCCTCACCACTTTCGTGCTGAGCGCGATTAACATGGGTGCGCGTGACATCGCTGAGCCCAACATTGTGGTCGCTTTGGCTTTCGGCTATGGTGGCCTTGTTCAATTGCTTGCTGGCATGTGGTAAGTGATACTCCACTGAGATGTCCAGTCGTTGTACACTAATATTCTCAAGGGAAATGGCCGTTGGAAACACCTTTGGTGCCACCGCTCTGTCTTCTTATGGTGGTTTCTGGCTTGCTTTCGCGATCATCCTGACCCCAGGTGGATTCGAGATTGCGGAGGCTCTCGGAGGCGCTGGTACATCGCAGTTCGATAACTCTTTCGGATTGTTCCTCTTTGTAAGTTCGCAGTTCCGGTAATTGAATGAGTCGCGTGCTGACTGTGACAAGGGATGGTTCATCTTCACCACTATCCTGCTGTTCTGCACCCTGAGGTCCACCGTAGCCTTCTTCTTGCTGTTTTTCTTCCTGGACCTTACCTTCTTGCTCCTCGGTATTGGTTATATCCACCGCAACTCCGAGAACAAGCCCAACCCCCCCGTCATCAAGGCCGGTGGCTTCTTCGGTCTCCTGGCAGCATTTGCAGCTTGGTACAACGCCCTCGCCGGTATTGCGGACAACAGCAACAGCTTCTTCATCCTCCCCGTCGCCCATTTCCCCTGGTCTCCTACTGCTCGCAGCCGCAAGTCCGAGCGCGAGACCGCTTAGATTATTGCGCGGTGCGAAGGTCGATGATCATAACTCGATTGGGCCGGGATCTTGTCCCGGCGTTTCCTTTTTTGTCAGATACCCATTCTTGTAAGATCATTGCTGCGAGAATGTAATGTCGTGTCAGCATTCTGCATGTTGTATTGCAGATCAGCTTGGCCACCCAATACTATACCCAAATCCGCAGCAGGTATAGATGGTCTTTGCGATGATTTCATTTGCTTTTGCCGTTTGCCAGCACCTTTTATAGCTTTGTAATGATGGCGATCTGTTGTTCATGTGAATGGACGATGGAAGGGGACGTGTGTCTGTATCTAGTTCTATTAGTTAATGCACTCAATGATAATGAATCTGCTGCTTTATCGTGTTGTAATTGAAGGCGTGCGATCCTGTAGGCAAGTCATGTCTGTTCGGCCACGGGACATGTTGCGGACCTGTCGCGAAGCACAGACGTTAGCTCCCACACGTGCCAGAATAGTAGTCATCACTCATGGATATACCACATGCCCTCAACATAGAGGCTGACGAATATCCCTGAGCTCTTCACAGTACGACAATATATAATAGTCGTTCCTATCGGGTCAGCATAAACCATTTGTCCTCCAACAAAACAAAGTAGAGAGAGAGAGAGAGAGAGAGAGAGAGATGTAATCAAAACACCACAAAAGCTATAAGTGCGAACACAGCTCTCAGACCAAGCGCAAAATCCTGAACCAATCAATTAGCATAAACCAAACAATACACAGATTGAGCAAAAAAAAGGCGCTTCTATTTTCTCTGCGCAATAGTATGCATGGCCATTTGCTCACACATACACACACACACAAAAAAAAAAGAAGAAGAGATAGAAGAAAAGGGGCCGCCAAACTAATAAGTCCTATAGATCGGAAATTTCTCGGCTTGCCTTTGCAGGTCGGGAGTCGTTCGGACGGGGGAAGTTCGGCATCTTGGTGCAAAATTTTTGCAGCCCGTGGAGCTGGCTACGGGGGTAACTCGGGCTTGGCGTGAGTCCTGCATGCATAAGCTTGTTTTTCCTTTCTTTTTCTTTCCTTTCGGTGTTTTATCTATTTTGTTGATCGTGAGTTTTATCTTTGAAATATTTGGGTTCTAAAGTAGAGGTTTGTCTAGATTATATTCTTATAGAGAGGGTAATTGAGTATATTGAAAGAAAAAAAAAATGTCATGATCCTTGATATATAGATCTAGGTGTATATCCGAGTAAATCAAGCAAGAGAACTAACTACCTCTGACGTAGATCCATCAAAAAGTCTTTCCGGGAACTCCCTCATCGGAATCAGGAGATCACGCCATTAACTCGGACATGAAAATCGCGCATACTATTACAGAGTACATGTAGTACTAATGCATGTGAGGAATGGGTGAGATTATGGTACCTACATGGCTGTTTTGTCCTTTCTTTGAGTAATTTTTGTGATGTGATAGTATTGTTACTAAGTTACTTCCTAGTTACTAAGTATTTTTATGGGTGTGGTGAGTGCTGGATTAGAGACTTAAGTTGACGTTGGGCTGGGGGTGCCGTGCAGGGTTGGTGTACCTAGATACTAGTAGATACTAGGTAGGGGTAGGGTTGCAAGTTGTAAACGGGTCCACTCTGCTTGATGTGACAATTGGTTGATTGCTAAACCTGCATAGTATTACCTAGTTAAGTAATACTAGCTGTTGTCCACTTGATGGGACGGTATAGTGACAGGACGCCGCCGGTTATCAGGTGGCTTGCTGGTTCTTTGCCCAGAGACTTGGGGGTATTGCTGCAGCTTATCACAATGTAACACATCAGGCGGGTGAAGTGTGGGGACAGAGATAACGTGTAGGTATGTAAGGTTGGAGTGGCCTGTCTCATGGTGTGTACAGGGTTATTTTCATTACTATACAGGGTTATATAACGGCTCATTGGGTATAGATGATGTTCACGGGATACGTATTAGCTGGATTTCATCCCATAATCCGCGCAATACAGTTTGGTGAACGCGGTCCACGTAGAAAAAGTTTAGCAGCAGGGATCGCAGTTCCTGCCACGACTGGATTCCTTGTCTTCGTACTGCAGCCGCTAACTCAGTCACGAAGAATGTTCTTTCAGGCAATAGCTGCGAACTCCATGCCCCGACGAAAAGCACCCAGATCAACACCTCCGGGAGCATTTGGAAGAATCCGGCTGGGATCGTGGTAGCTAGCGCCAGACGAAGAGCGCTGACCGGTTTGGGGAACACGGGGCCGATCTGGGGGTAGAATTCCCAGATCGTACCATTGTGGAATAGAAGACATGCTAGCCGGACGCAGCCTTCAATATTCGCGTCCCCTTTAGGCTCGCCGGTCTCGAGATACCGATCCATATGAAGGGCATATTCGACATATATGACCTCTGTGTTGAAGTATCCTTCGGTCTCGTCGTCAATTTCTTGGTAATTCTGTCCGCTTTTCACCCATTCAGCGTACCACACAAGCTCAGAAAGGTCGTAGATGATCTTCGACATGCCATCACCGAAGATGCTAGGTATCTCAATTAGTGAATTCAATGCAGAAGCAGTCTTGACAAGGTCTTCATTGGGAGGGGCAATGGTGAAATGGGCAGGGCGAGCATAACGGAGGAAAGGGAAGATTGGCTTTGTGAAGGCCATGCAAGCCACCCGGATATCGGTCCTGCTGGCGTTAGCGATAGGCGAAACATTATTCGATTGTTAAACCAACCAAGAGATCTGGAACCGGATATCAGGTGGTACGTCTGCAAGGCTATTTCGCAGGGCAACCATCTGCCTCAATCCGGCCAGGTGGATCTTGAGATAATCGGGGTTTCCAGAAGCAATCTATATGGTCAGTAGCGAGCAGGAATCCCTTGGCAGAATGTCATACCTCAATCGTTAACAGCGTTGAAACAGCGGCAATCAACGAATCACTCGAGGCTTTGACAGGGTCTGATAGCCCCTCGTTGACCAGCCGGATTGTCTCACCTCTGTGATGAAAGGTGTCGAGAAGTAGGGAACTGGGCCGTTGACCCTCCCTCACCGGGAATTCACCGATTGTCAGGGCAGTATTGGAGGCAGCAACACATATGCACGCGTGGAGTGACGCAGGGTCGCGATGGACCAGTGCTGTCCAATGTGCCTGTAGTTTCTCTCCATACCGGCGTTGGAGCGGGTACGCAATATGGGTCAGGGTGCCCAGGACTATCAAATATGAGCTCCGTATAGTCTACATGGTCCAAAGAACTGACTCACAGTGTTGAAGATGCCGAGACATACGATCAGTAAGCCGCGTATGGAATACATTGAAAGGATCATTGCCTCCTGAACCCAGATAGGCCACGGGCGAATTATTCTGGATCACGGTAAGCGCCTGACTATGCGAAGATGCATCAACGTCATGGTAGTTTTCTGTCGAGGCTGCCACAAAGCCTGGCGTGTCACCGGCTAGTGCGTTTTCTAAACTACCTCCTTGTTGCTCGGGCTGAGATACTTTGAGGGGCACTTGTTGAGAGTCGCCCAGCGCAGAGGCTAAAGGAGTAGAGGCCGATGAACTAGAAGCGGCGGTTTCCGGCGGCTGGAAAGCAAGGTGCTTCCATGTCTTGCTTTTGTACCGTTTAGTGTTCTCCAGTCTCTTCTTGCGATTATGCTCCGACATAACATGCGAACGGATGCGCTTGAGCGTTTCATCCCTCGTTCCCTGGGCTGCCGACTGGGGGTCGCTATGGACCCAAAACAGGGTCGACCGGCCACCCGACGCATTACTAGGCTTGCGCGGTTTGCGCGCCTTCGTTACAGCATTTCTGCCTACATCTTGACTATCGCGCTCGGAACTATGAGTTATGTTCTGACGAATGGATTCATCAACGAAGGCGAGCGCATGAGAATTGTCATGGACTGCTGGCGACGCTGGGGCCGAGCTATGACTAGGATCTGAATTCTGTATAGAAGACGACGCCCAGGTCGCCGACGAGACCGGGGTGGAGTTTAGGAGCGGCAGTACCTGCTGGCGATCGGAGGGCGCCGTTGAGTGGTGAGTAGAGTTCTTGGCGTCCATGGTGCGCGCAAATCTAATTATGGCACTTCGGAGATCTCACGTTTGAAGGATCGTCATTGGGGGGGGAAGGGGGACACGCCGTTTCAAGCTGGAGTGAGAACTGGGACCATGAGTTTGGAAATGTGGGTGTTAGAGAGAAAGGCGTCCAAGTGGATTTGGGAGGGTCAAGAAAGATGGGACAAGGGAGGGAAAATTGCTGAATGGTCAGCGCACTGCCCTTATCAGGAAAAAGTTCATCCTTTCTCCCAGCTTGATCTAATTGTCTTTTATATATATATATATATATATATATATACGTGAAACAGGGAGTGGGAGGTTGGACCCCTCCCTTCTTTTATTTTTATTAATTTATTTTATTTTATTTTATTTCTATTTTATTTTTATTTGTTCCCTTGTGGAACGACAGAACGAGACCTAAGTTAGTGAGAATTCGTTTACATAAACCAATTAAGGGAAAGTTTGGATCCAACACAACCAGCGGAATTGGAGTCCAGCCCTGAGAGAGAAAGTCATTAATCCCTCGTCCTGGTGCATGAGTTCGGGATTTAACAATGAAAACCTAAAAGAGAAAATTGGACTTGATTCCTCTCGAAGGAAAGAAAAATCAATATATAATTTATTTATATATACTACATGCAATCCTTCGCTCAAGTGGAGCTTGAACTCAATTCCTGGAATTTTATAGAAAGTTATTGGAGCCAGTCAGTACGTATTTGGAATCGGATTCATAGCACATATCAAGTTGCAATTGGATATATATACATATATGTGTGTGTGTGTGTGTGTGTGTTATTCCAAATGAGACATGACCTGTCCAGTCTATTGACTACATATATTTATATTTAGAATCTGTGTATTTGTTCCCCTTTCAATCTGAGGTTCAATAGCTCTGTTTCTTACCCATGAACACAAAAGCCCCATGCGCCATTGGAAAAAGACACTGAGGAGGTTCAGCGAAAGGGCTACGACGACTCTCAACACCCCGCTACTCGCAGCACGGTCGCAAAAAAAAAAATCTACAAAGTCTTATTACATGCCCTAGTCACTAATGTTGGCTATCGCTACAAGATTTGGCAGCCAGGCCCGCGCTGCGAGCTCACCATCGTATGCTGAAAACGAACACAATAACTGAACGACCCATGTAGGAGAGAATATGAACAAGAAGGAACTGCGGGGGTTAAGAATATCCCGATATAAGTGCCACGGCCGTCTAGACCGCAATGGGGACATTACATTCCGGGCCGCGGAAACACAGGCACAGTTTCCAGCTGCTCATAACCGCCCATCGTCCCTTGCTGACCACCGACATGCCACCCCTGACCAGTCTGTTGGTTGACAAAGGCACTTTGGCGGAAAGGGTTCGTGCTTCCAGTGGGATTGGGCCGCAGAGGCGCCGGCGCAGGAGGCTGCAGGCCCTGTGACTGCTGCGGAGGGACCGAAGAGCTTCGAGCAAAAGGATTAGTCCCCGTTCGTTGGGGTTGTAGTGACGGCGCTGACTGCGGAGGCGGTTGCTGTGGCGGCGGCGTACTGGCGTCGAATTGCGGCGGGTTGGCGCTTGACAGCCGTCGTGCAAAAGGGTTTGTGCTCTGGCGGTTCAGTGAAGATGCCGGCATGCCGGTTCCGGTTGGGGTACTCAGTAACATCGACTGCCTGAAGGGGTTCGTTATTTGCGGTTGCAACTGCGCACCGGACATTGATTGCTGTTGCTGAGGAAATGGCGTAAGATTGTTCTGGTGAACAGGGGCAAGATTCTGCTGGAATCCATATGTCTGCGGCTGCGCTGAGTAACCACCAAATCCCGCACCAGTTGGCGTTGACTGAAGTGGCTGTGGCTGCTGAGCTTGCTGTTGACCGAATGGATTGGTACTTTGCTGTGCAAATGGATCCCCAGTTGGCATAACCTGGCCAAAGCCGGTCGGCTGCGCCTGTTGTTGAAACCCAGTTTGTTGGGGGTAGAACGCTGGCTGTTGCGGGTGGAAGCCTGTCTGTTGGAATTGCATCGCTTGCGCTTGCTGCTGTAGATGTGGTAGCTGCATAGGGTTCTGTTGTGCTGGGGGTTGTGGATCGATCGAGTCGAAGAAATCGATCAAGTTCGCTGGGTTCTCTTTCTTTTGCGGAGCAGGTTGTGTGTGGGGTCGAGGTGGTTCAGGATTGCTGACAGACCTACTTCCTGCTCCAGCCGTGTTGCTGGATGCGAATGTCTGACCCGGGTTGCCGCTCTTTCCTCCCTTTCGCAGTAAATATTCTCTTCGTCGCTGATCAAAATCCGGGTCATTAAGGTCGTCTTCAAGGAGTCGAGTTAGGTCGGTAGAGGCGTGCTTCAGCTTGGGTATTTCTAGCCGTGTTGCTGCTTGGAAATGTCTAGCGACACCTAGGAATTTCACGACCTCCTCTGTTTGTTGGGTAAAAGTCTTATAAATCTCCAGTGCACGCTCGCTATCAGGCCGCGACATTTCGAAGTAATGCTCTGTTGCGAACACCATGAGTTAAGCCGCAATATGTAACGGGTGATAATACCTACCCAAAACGTTGATCGTGCCCTCGTTCATGACTGAGTAAAGCGTCAGGAGATCCAATGTGAGCAGGCGAAAGGCCGTTAACGTAATCTCGTTCTCAACTTCATCTGTCAGAAGCTAGAGACGGTCAGCCATCGTAACTTGACTACAGCAGATGGAGAACATACATCACACTGTAACAGCGCATGGATCTGTCTTTGTACAATCTCCGTTTCCCTCAAGAGGCCCTTTTCTACCGTCAATCTCTTCATACGTCCCTGCCCGCTTCGTACATAATCCGTTTTGGTAGCCTCGAATGCATTTGCGCGCGCGACTAGGTAATCGGAGTATCTCCGGATGTTATGTCCCTGTGACTGAACTACCCGATGTCAGCATCTTCGCTCGTATATCTGGAACTCTACCGGCTTACCTTCTGAAAATCCGCTTATTGCAAGCTTCCTCGGGTTCTCTGCCATATACTGTAGTGTAGCGTCCAATTGCCCCTCCCTTACCATGATATGTATGACAATGAGGGCTTTGAAGACTATCGTCCATGTTGAGTCGCGTAGCCGAAGCTGAATTGTTCGAAATATTTCTGCTACTCCCGCTTCTCCTGTATGGGTCGCTACTAGGATGTGCTCTATGTATTTAGATTTAGGGGCCGCGAGCTGCTCGCATGAAGCCAGTCATCAGTGCCTCATGCTAATCACAACAGGCATGGAGACAATTTCAATTCATACTGACCTTAATTTTGGTGGCCCCCTTTACCGATTTCTCAAAATTGTGGGACATTGCGACGGTGTGTTGGACTCCGCGATTGGGCCGTAATCGGGATCAGAAGATCCTCGTGGGAGAAGTTCAATTAGGACTGAAGACCCCTGTAGGGTATAAGGGCTTCAAAAATATCAAGGCAGATCAACAGCTATCGTAGTTCCAAATTGATCTGTCGACACCGGCACTAACAACAGTCATGGTGGCTCAAGCCATGCTGCGCGCGTCGTAATTTTGGAAGTATGGAGTCTGGTAAGAAGGTGGGGGTGGGTGAAGTTATAATCAACACAACTTCTGAGAGTGAGACTGAGATCGATAAAATAATGATGGCAATAAAAGCGTGAGATATGCCGGCCTCGAAGAGTTTAGAAGGTTGGTAAATGGGCTGGAGGGACTGAGGGAGCTTCAGGCCTTCGGAACGTTTGGAGTGTCAGTCAGCGGGAATCGCAGTGGAGTTAAGCTTTACTCTCTCCGCCTTAGGCAGATATCAAGTATGTATCACGTTCCCGCTTAGTCTATTCAGGAACCTCACACTGTGCCTGATATACGGAGTATAGGCTTCTTCTGCCGTCTAGTACAATGAATTTGACCGAAAATCTGGTTTCTTCTTCAGCATCATCATCTTCTTTACCCTAAGACAAAAGCGCAGAGTTATTTCTGAGTAGATCTTTTTTTTTCTTTTTCTTTTTCTTCTTTCTTTTCTTTTCCTAGGTTTTGTTTTTTAAGGTCCTCATCTCGCTCTCCCCCCATAGAAATCTGATATATCGCTTCTTTGGAACTATAAATTCTATATAGTATCGCTTTAAAACCCAATAACTTTCCCTGCTCTATATCCGACCCTATCCCAACACAATCATGCAGTCATGTATAGACCCGGATGTACTCAGCTGTAGCAATAGTAGCTGGTTTGCTCATTACTCTCCAACACTTTCTAACCATATACTCCCTCGGTAGTAACACTAACCTTGACAACGCTCCTGTTTCAATGCCCAACACGAAACTAACTCAAAAGAAAATGTGTTTCGTAAGAGAAGCAAGTAGGAACTGTGTACCGTGCTAGGGGTTTATTTTGATAGTATTTCCAGTACAGCATTGACTTCAAAGTAATAACACTCTACCTCACTCCTCCTCATATCCCATTTCTCCTCTGATCTCGTTTCTCAACCAATTTGGTATTATTCTGGCCGGTCATTTCTCTGCAGTCCAAGTACCCTCGTTCGTCAATCCGCTCATCTAAGAGAGACCAAGAGTCTATTTAATCTTTTTTCATGCACATCATTTGTCTACTCACAGTCCATTGAGCCCCCATTATTCCAGGCGGCAAAAAATCAGAGAAAAGGAACTTATTTTGTCTCTTCACAATACTCTACAGGATCTCTCTGTCTTCTAGAATCAAGATGGACATACAGGCTATCGATCATACACTGAAGACACCCAGGAACCGATGGAGTACTAGGCAAAGAATCTTTCTTTGCTGTCTCTATAAGTTTTTCTGTAGAGACAAGAGAGTATTCAGAGAAATCTTCAACCATGCCTTCAAGCCGGAGCTGATTAAATGTGGACTCACGGAAGGCATTTCTATAGGTACAATGCATTCCCAGTGGGCTGATCTGAAATCGTCCGGTGATCCTATTTGGGGGCATGTACATCTGTCTCCTTTTGACGACCGTGATACTTGGCTCCCTATGGTTAAGAGGGTTCAAGAATGTGCGAAGACGTTGGGCATCACGCTTGTTGAGAAAGAAGTAGATGATATAGATACGTCAAACTTCCAGCTCAGGGAGCAGAGTCTTCCTGTTGATTTTTTGTCTACACCTGTGAGTTCTTGTCTTGAAGAGCATGCCTGGTGTTAATGTATAATTAGGATGCTGATGAGAGCCCTATTACACCCTCAAATGCAAGAGCAGTGGATATTGCCGCCGTACGGTCCCCGGTGGAGATTGATAAGCACAATTATCAAGACCTAAGTCTCTGTACGGGTGGTGGAAAGAGATGTTTTTGGTGCTATAAAGAAGATGTTGAGAAGGTATGGAATTATAGTATTTGATAACCACCCAGGGTTATTTGACTAATTTACCATAAATACTAACAGCAGGAAAGCGCGATTTGGATACCTCCTGTTCTGTACCGGTGGTCAAATATTGATTCCCAAGGAATCAATTCTACAAAGATGTTTCTCGCTGGATTATTCATCGATGAACTGGATTATTTTGCGCCAAATGATATCGAGACAAAGGAGTTCGAACAACACGTCGTGAACCACGCTAGTATATTTGAGGTCCCAACTCCCTTCATCTCAACCTTCAGGTCCATGCTTGCACCAATCCATAGGGCGATCCAAAAAAAGGAAGGGGCAATAATAACCATGATTGACTCGAAAAAGCTACAGACCCAAGTGTACTCTGCTCAGAAGCTTGTCCGCAAGGTTGGTTTGAAGGTAGGAAGATACAATGGCGGGGGAAGAATTTCTCATCTGGGGAAAGGTTCATAAATCTGCCATAATATCATCGTTTAAAGTCAGTTCGCTTCTTCAGGTAGCAAGTGAGCATCCCCATATTGAGAGCATTCTGCAGCTCGACGTTATTAGAACATATGAAAAAGCCGGAAGATCATTACACCAGGTCCTAGCCAAGGGCCTGGGACAACTTGACCACCAGTCTGGCTTGATTATAGGAGAGCTCTTGGCCCGCCTCAAAGTGCCTCAGCAATATTTCCATTCAATTGGACAAGGAATAGTGTACTCGTGGCGTTTGAATACCAAGAAAGGCTCCTGGCAAGAGTTTATCGGAGGAATGAACAGTGGTTATTTGTCGCTGTCTGAGGTCCATGACCCAGGAACAACCCTGCCTGCCATCTTGGACCTAAATGATCTAGATCAGCTCGAGCCATCTTCAGACGAAGACACTGTAACCGACGGGGAATCATCGCCAGATAGTGATGTTCAGGAGAGTGATGATGATCCACGAGCTGACACGCCTTGTCCCGTAGGACTGCCTACGAGGGCTGCGTTGCCACCTATCGAGCTCTTTGACGGCCATAACAGAAGGTGGATAGCGCAAAAGGATCGCACAAGGGAAGAAGTTATAATTGACGACTCTAGCACCGAAGATGAGGTTACTGACGATGTCTTCACAACGGTTGCCTTCTCAGACACCTTGTTCAATACAAATACAATCAATGACAACACCGGGAGCGTAACTTCAGCGAATCCTGAGCCGGAGCTCATAGAGTCTCGTCATCAACCAGTGGCAGAGGACCAATTTGCGAGTGACAGAGCGAGAGTCAACCAAATTTTAAATTGATACTGCACCTAATAATACCTGCTTAATGTTCCTAATCCCGTCTTGTCTCCGAATAACCGAAGATCTGATTATGCACAAGGCAAAATATCAGACGGAGAACAGAAAGGTGGAAGGGCGAAAGAAAAACAGGAGAAGCCGGTGCATATTTACTTGTTTTGGGGTAGGGGCTGAACTGAGAATTGGTCGGTAGGTAGCACACCAACTGGGCTGCTCAAGGCACGGAGGCAAGTTGTACTATATTCCCAAGGGCAGCTGGCATCTCAATTCTCTAGCTTTTAGCGACGAGGAAAAGCAATCGAAGAATCCCGGGGAGAACGACAATAGTGTAAAGAGAAATAATGAATGAAAAAAGACCTAAATTGGCATCATGAAAAAGCTCCATTCCCGAACTGTCATGAACGGCAATCCCTTTCCCGGTTGGCTATACAGTTGGAATTCTAACATAGGAGTATCAAAAAGCTTTTTTTCATTGGATATTTCCTTCACAAGGGTACCTGGGACATGAAATCGTGAAACAATCCCAACCCGTTAAACTAATTCGCTTATATCCAGTCACGCCGCTGCCCTAGGTTGATGACCCTCTGGAATCGAAACACCCCCATCATCATCGACACGCTTAGAACTTGGAGAAAGCCTTGACGGCCTTGCCGGTACGGGGCAGGACACGGAGGACGTTGAAGCGGACCTAAAGACGTGTTAGAAATGTTCCACTCAACTATGGCAATCGGAAAGCAAATCCAGGGGTTGATCCATAGCAAGATAGGCTCCACATGGAAAAGGGTAAGTGATCGCGAATGACGGAGCCAAATGGAGGTTCCGGAACATTTGTGTACGTACAGTCTTGGACAGGGGACGGCACTGGCCGACGGTAACCCAGTCACCCTCCTCAACACGGAAAGCGGGAGAGACGTGAGCAGCAAGGTTCTTGTGTCTCTTCTCGTAACGGTTGTACTTGGGGACGTAGTGGAGGTATTCACGGCGGATGACGATGGTACGGTGCATCTTGGTGGAGACAACACGGCCGGTCAGGATACGGCCACGGATGGAGACCATACCAGTGAAGGGGCACTTCTTGTCTGTTTGATATCAGCGATCTATCCATCAAGTCGATGGAGACTTATGAACCGATTCCGGAGTTCGGAGATGAAGATAACAGAGAACCAGCAAGGCAATATCGGCTTTCCAACTGTGACAGAATATTCTCCACCTCTATCGACAATATCTGTGCCGCAAATGCAATCCTGGACTTTTATAATCCCGCGCAGTCTTTCATCTCCAAACCCCGGAAAGTCGTCGTTCTTCCCCAATATGAAATTCGAGATTTCCGGCAAGATTTCACCGTAGGCCGTGCATACCGATGTAGGTGCCCTCAATGGCGGTCTTGGGGGTACGGAATCCAAGACCAACATCCTTGTACCATCTGCGGCCCTGGCCAACCTTCTTGCTCTTCGCAAGAGTCTTAGGGTTGTTGAAGATGTGAGGCTGCTTCTGGAACGCACGTTCCGACTGGACGGTCAACTCGGTCGCCATTGTTGCGAGAATTCAGTTCGACGAGGAAGCGAAGTCGAGCTGGGTGTATCGTCGCGGAGGGGGGTGTCGGGGCCTGCGGTGGTCGACGTCGATGTTGAGGAAGATTTATTCGGGATGGCGGATAATTCAGTGTGGGAGTGTGCGATTGCGACGCTAAACCTGTTGCGGGCTAGTCACGCTGTACTAGCCCTAACACCTAGTTAGTTAACTAATCGTATTGGCATTATGTAATAGATGACTAACCGCGATAACAGAAACGTTTGTTTACATTGAACGATCACATGAGCAGCACCCGGGAGACGCGCGACTTTTGGGGGATCGTTATGCTGGTGTGGTCAATGAGGGCCCAAAGGCTAACTGTACCATGTCTATTATTCCAACGCTTCGAAACAAGTGAAATAACTGATGAATTGAAATCGAGAAGCTTTAATTATCCGGATTGGTCTATGATACCCTATATCTTGCCTCATGGCATCCAGAAGTGACTCCGCGGGGTCTGCCCGTCCGCGATCTCGTCGCTCGATCGCCCATGTACCCCGATCGAGGTTCACATCTGGAGTGGATAAGGAGAATACAACTACAGACATAAGTTCAAGTCAACCGGTCCTGGGCTCCGCAAGACTGGGCGGGAAAGATAAGAAGTCCCGCAGTAAAAGCTTGGGACCTGGTGGTTTAGATGCGCTTCAGAACTCCAACGGTAACCGACGCAAGGTATATTCCCTCTCTTAGCCCCACGATCCTCTGATTCCTTTGCAAACTAAGGCAAATATCGTCGCATTATAGTCCACTACAGCATTCCCTCTCAAATCTATTCTAAAACCCACCGTGCCCGTTTCGCCAGTGCGAAACATCCCCTCTTTCGAAGAAACACGGAGGCGAACACCAGCTCGAGGATCACAGCATCATGAAGACAATGAAGGTGGGGGAAGCCAGGGGAAAGAGGGCATGTTGATAGACCTTGGCACCCCAGCACAGCCATCCGGGTCTATAAATGAATCCAACCCATTCGACAGCTTTAATGCCTCATCAATACGTGACGAGATGGCCGCTGCTAGAGAGCGTGACGAGAAGAACAGGCGGGAGCGGGAGCGGAAGGCCATTCTAGAACAGCGGGAAGCCCGCCGGAAGTCTATGGGTATGGTATTATCTTTCCCTCAGCAGTTTATGTGGGACTGACTAGTTTTGTCACAGCAAACCGCCGAGTATCATTCGCTCCGGAGGCAACATTACACACATGGAACGTAGTGGAAATTCCCGACGACTCTACTTCATCGTCTACCTCCAACTCCACCCGACGCGCATCTTCCTTAACTTCTGAGAACCAGGCAACACCTGCTGCCGGACAGACTGAACCTCCCTTGTCCCCGGACGCCGAAATCGAGTCGGACATAGCATTTTCTCCTGTGCAATACCCAGATCTTCAACAGTTGGCAAACCGACCTCAATACGGAACTTATGATGGAATGGGTGGCTCCCAGCAAATGTCCTCTAGCCCCTTCAGCGGCAGCTCTGCAGATGGCAGTGAAGATATTGGGCTGCAAGCTGATACTAGAGATGACGACGAGGAGGATGACGACAACTCTTCAATCTCTGGTTTTGACGGTGAAAGTACTGCAATGAGCCTAGATGATGTAACTGCTCACTCAGCTGCGACGGTGCGATCCGAGGAATCGAATACCAGCTCTAGCGCTCGACTCAATGAGGCTCTTCGACAAGCAGCTCGAGAGGCCGGCACGAAGAGCATCGATGACGATGAGAACGGCGACATGTCAATGGAGATTGCCGATCAGGAAATCACAGGGGCTTTCCAACCCTGGATTAAGAAAGGACAGAGACAAAGCTTTGACTGGGAAGACATCAGCGCCCGGCATGATCAAGAGAATGCGTATCCAACGGACCACCCAGACCGTGATGCGGCAAGTGACAACGGAGATGAAGACATGAGCATGGAAGTGACGAATGCCATTGGCCGGATCATCTCCAAACCGGCAAGCCGTCGTCAAAGCGCCATCCGTCGCAAGTCAAGTGGAGAGGAAACAAACTACGGCGAACAAACGATGGAGCTCACAAATGTGGTTGGAGGCATCGCACAACCTACTTCCCCTGCGGAGTCCACAGGCGCCGATAGTAATGCAAACGAGAACGAAGAGATGACAATGGAATTTACTTCCGTAGTTGGTGGGCTTTTGGGCAAGTCTTCCACCCAAGATGAGGATGAGGACGACTACGGGGCTGCTGGGTCTTCTGCTCCGGAAGACTCCAACGAACGGAACTTCTCCGAATGGAACGAGGACGGCGTAATAGAAGATGGCGAAGATATGGAGATCACTGGGGCCGTTGGTGGTATACTTCCACCGAATGAGGAGCGAGATGAACCAGGGGAGGAGGAGGATGATGATAATGATGATGATGATCAGACTGCAGGGATGGAAGTCACTACAGCCATGGGTAGGATATTAACACCGGAGGCCGAAGCCGGTGGTAAAGAGGAAGCAAAGGAAGACATGGAAATGGAATTTGATTCCGCTGAGCGCGGTAGTTCTCCTTTCCAAGAATCCGTTCGACAGTCTCCTGTGAAGTCACCAGGCCCCTTCCATGTTACTACAGTGACCTCGGAGAGTGGCAGTCCTAGTTTGGCAAGTGTCAGATCCCGACATACAAGGCAGAGTCTGAGTCAAGGACCTTCGAGCACTCCAACCTCAACTACCCCTAAGATGTCCCCGTCGGAGAACTCGTTGACTCCCACGAAGCAATCGGCACCGCAAGTTGGTCGTCCTACAACGCTTAGAAAAACTCCGCCATCAAGTGCCAAGGGATTTAGAAACGCGTCACCGAAGAAGCTCTTTCAACCTGAACTGCAGGAGTCCGCAAATAAATCGAAGTCGCCCCGTAAAAGCCTTTTCGGAAACAGTGCGACGGGCGAATCCACGCCTCTCTTCGTTCTGCAACCGAAAAGCAAGAGGCGATCATCTGGACTTGGGATTGATAAAGAAGGACTAGGGTCCCCCAAGGTAGCTGCTATGCTTGATAAGCGCCGGTCTATTGGCGAAGATAGTGCTGAATTCGTTCCTCAGGAACGGCAACAAGGTGTACGATTCGAAGATCCTTTGAAGCTTCAAGAGGAGGTTGATCGTGAGCGCGAAGAAGAAGAAAGCCGCGAGGATGGACATATCCCACCGCTGCAAGGTAATGACCGAGATGCGACTACAAACCTGAGGGATATGATTTCAAGTCTCACACCGAAGAAGAACAAACTTGCAGGCCGGAAAAGCTTACACGTCGGTGCGGCGCGGGGCTTACTTGGTAAACGGCCTATGGAACTGGACTTACCTGACGACGAATCTGACCATACACCCAAGCGCCTAAGAGGTCGTGAGGCTAGCCCTGTAAAGAATATCAGACTCCCCGCACCACCGACAAAAGACGAAACAGTCGGACGTCTGGGCCGTTCCCCTGCCCCCCCATCAATTGAAAGATCCCCGGCAAAGACTAGCACAACCCCTACGAAGGTGCCGAGGGGCTCCTCGGTGATGGTAAACCCTACAGAAGATGAACCAACTTCGTCCAATGGCACATCCACTTCTGAGCCAGCTCAAGAAGCTCTCGATCGCCAGGAAGAATCCGGGCCCGAAGTTGAGCCTATCCAGTTGCAAGAATTCTTGAACATGACCAACATTCACTTCATGGAGCTTACCACGACGAAGCGTCGACATACCACTGCGCCGGACAGTGCGACCAAAAGAAGATCCAGACTTTCTAGCGAAAAGTTTAGTGCCTCCAAGTTTGACGATTGTGTCGCTGCTGGCTTCTGTACCGTACCCATGCTAGAGCTTTATCAACATGTCAGTTTTTTTTTTCTTCTCGACCAATTCGCAATGTTTTGCTAATTTTCTCTAGTCTTGCCGAGAGTTGAAGTCCTATATCTCAGAAGGTAGGCAAGTTATCCGGTCCATCGAGATGGAGACCTATGCCGAGAACCCGCCATTATTCCGAGAATACATGGCCGCCCCTCCCGATATCCGTCTATTAATGGACAATCAATTTCGAAACGTAAAAACTCACGCTAGGCTTCTTAGCAAAGCTACTTGGTATGAGTGGCGGATGAAGCTCCTCGAGGGTCTGAAAGACGGGCTTAATCACCACGTTGAAGAAATGAGAAGTGATGATGAACTTTTGTCGAAGCATGAGACACTCCTTAGCGGTGTGGTGCCCGCGCTTGTCGAGAAACATTCATCACTTGAGGAAAAGGCTACATCTCTGCAGCAGTTGGCGGACGAGATTGAGAGTTGCGACCAGGATGAACTCCGTGATGCGCGCGGGAAACTCTCTAGCATTGAGGAGGAGATTGCATCAAAGAAAAAGCTACTTGAAGAACTACAAGTCGAAGCCCAGGAAAAGACAAACATTATCGAAGCCGGAGCGGAGCTTAAAGCGGAATACTTGGGCCAAATCCAAGAGGCGGAACGGATTAAGGAGGAATGTCGGGGCTGGAGTGCCAAGGAGATTAGTGAGTTGAAGGGTAAGTGCCTTCTTTACATATATGGCTGAGACGAGAGCTAACTCTCGATAGAATCCGTCCATAAGGTGGAATGTCAGACAGGATGGTCTATCATCTCGGCCACTTCCCCTTCCACTTCCCCAGCAGGTCCATTGGTGACGATGTCTTATCGCAATCAGCTCCAACTTTCGTTCCACCCGGGGGCATTCTTTATTGATAATGGCAACAGCCAACATCCTGCTACTAACGAGAAAATGCCGATTGAGTTGAAACACAGCCCTCAAGGCAGAACAAACTCTATAGCCCATTCCTATACGCTCTCGCCGATAGGGTTGTTAGTCTTGAAGTCTCTTCAAAATGAGCTTGCAATCATCCCACAGTTTAAAACGGCTCCAAAGCAGATGCTCCATTTTGTGGCGCAAGCGTGGGATCTTGTGCTCAATCTCGAAGAGGAAGCCCGTATGCTGGGATTCTGCGGTGCTACCAAGCTCAAGTTCTCCGAGATTGATGCAAAACCCTCCCTCAGGGCGAGATGCACTCTGCTCGAACTATCATCTGGAAAGGGATCCTCAAAAGCAAAGAGTACAGGAGCCAGAAGAGTCGATGTTGACTTTGCTGTCAAGACACGTGTGCAAAAAGGAAACTCTGGTGGTGTTGGTGTTCTAGCATTCGAGACCGATGTGATTGCCAGTAAGGTCTATGGATTTGGAACTAAAAATAGCTCCGGCATGTCTGAGGATGAAATGCGAAAACTTCTTCGTAAGGAGCTCGGGGAGAAGCCCGGGCGCGACCTCGGAAACGGTATTTGGAGCAAGGCAGTTCAAACACTTACCGGGACAGTATTTTAATTATGAGCAACGGCATATGGCGTCTTCAGGATCGTCGGGTTTGGCTTTATTTCTTTTGCGCGCGAGTAGGGTGACGGTGTTTGAGTGCAAGGCTTGGGAGTTTACCATGGGTTCTGGATGGGTAAATATCTTCGGTGGGAACGGGTTTGTACATGGATATGATATGTGGATACATTTACAAGTATATGAGAATCACAATCTTTCAGTCTTTCATGCGTCATTTAACCTTCAGCAACGACATATAATCTTCATCAACGCCGAAGCATATATATGATCACCATACAACCAAACCAATCCAGGAAACTCAACGAGTTCTCCTTCATACCCACCCAACACCGTAAAAAACTAACAACCACTATCATCCCCAAGTGCCTTCCCCTTTCTGCCTTCTTCATACCCTACCTCCTCCAACAAACAGGCTCCAAGGGCGGCTCCCCCGCCGCCTCCCTTCTCTCATTCTCCTTCACCCACGCCTCAGCATGATCCCGCCTCGCATCCAGCTCCTCACACATCTGATCCGACACAATGGCCAACACCTTCCCCCCCATCTCTTTCTGGTACCAGCCGCCGGTGGTGTCGATCGTATCGTCGAAGGTGGTTTCGGGGTTGGCGAGCACGGCCTTCTTGATGTCTTCTTCTGTGTCTAGGCGTGGGATTGAGGGGGAGATGCTGGGTGGGTAGCGGGTGTAGGTGTAAGTTTTTGTATTGGATGAGGTAGTCATCCTTGTTCCTCTCGGGCTGAATGTGACAGGGTGGTGTCTATTAGTTGTTTGGGTTTGGATTGTTGGTGAAACTGGAAGTGATGAGCGAAGGAGGGAGGGTGGTTTGAGATTTGAGAGTAGATTGAGCATACACAGAATGGAGTTGGGTGGGGGTTTATTTGTGAATGGTTATGTATTGGCGGTTGGTATGTGTTGGTTGAGTAGAAGATGAGATGAGATGACTCGTTCTTTGTGATGGAAGAACTTAATGGAGGTGTGTATAGACATGTGACAAGTTATGAAAATATATACAAAGGACACACACCTACGTCATTGAGATCGACGTCTAGCGCTTATTTTTGGCGGCGGCCTGATTGTGTAGGATCTAGACCGGGTGTCTTGATATTCTTTTGTCTTTTATTCTGTAAGATCGTGTTTTGGACGGTTTCTACTCGCTAGAAGGTTATGGACTGTGGTAACTGTTCTTCATTTTGATACATCCAATGGGTATTGAGAATATGCTGCTATCGTGATTTTAGAATGGAGTGACCGGTGTTATCGTCAATTCATTAGGATACAGACAGAGGATTATATCCGTCATATTGCTTATGGCTCATTATCAATGGGCATCCCAGGTCAAATACTAAAGCAGGGATATATAAACGTAAGACGTCGCTGGAACCGCATGTCGAGGGGTCGGCTCACAAATGTTCGGTCCTCCGCTGGTCGATTGATTAGAAGAGGTTCATAAATCCCCGGGGCATCCACGCAGGATAGTCCTCTGGATTATCAGAATCCTCGCAGTTGAACCCCATGTTCATTGGCGCCGAAGGCATTGGTGGTGCTGTCATCCCAGCCATTGCCGACATGACATCGCTACCCCCTTGATCAAAGAATTGTGGACCGAAAAGACTCAGAAACTGACTGCCAAACTCCCAATCAGCCGTCATTGGAATTTGCCACAATTCTGGCTGCTGTATGTTGTCGGCCATAGAAGCCGGGAAAGTGTCATCCATTGGATACTGATAGCTCTGCTGGATGGTTGCACTTGTGCTCTCATGGGGCTGGCTCACTGGGTACCCGCCTAGGAGCGGATCGTTCACAGTGGGTTGGTCCCCAGTGGGGGTGTTTTCTGAGGCAGCGCTAGGACTTTCAGGAACAACATAGCCCGACGAGTTTATACGTGGGAGACCTTCGAGTTGAGGAATGTCAACATGACCGGTAGAAGACGAATGGGATGCTTGCTCCCTGGATGGGGAGCTCCTTTCATTCTGTTCTTGGACGGTGACCGATGATGCTACGGGCTGGTGATGTCTGTCGCTTGATTTGAGTGCCTTTTGTTCTCGCTCAACGACAGCCCGGGCTACTCGCTCGAAGTTAGCACACATCTTAGTCATGAACTTGGCGTAATTGCACGGCCCGTCGCCGGGTATGAGCGTTGCGAAGAAGGTCGCTGCCATGCTTAGATGCTGCAAATCTTCTCTGGCGTTGGGGTGTTGACTGTCGCGTAGGATATAAGTGAATAGTATGGTAACTGCCAGGAAAATATAATACAACAGAGACCTACGGCTGTATTAGCGGCAGGTCCAAATTGATATCTCGAAATTTCAACAACTCACCAGATCCATGCTATGTCCCCCCATGGAAGGTTATTCACAAGCTTCAATGTGTCCCGGGCAGCCTGAACACAGATTGAGCTCGCCTTAGTCGACTCGTTGAAGATAGTTTTGTGATCAACGTCCCATTTGACGTTAATTGTAGAATGCCGCACATAGGCAAAATGAATAGTCAAGGGCAGACGATGGATCATGATCATAGAATTAAAATAGCCAAACTGCAAGCCAGCAGTAGCAAATCCCACCAGGAAATCCTCACTTGCTCCTCTCGGCTTCGATTGTTGGGTGAAAGGGCTTGCCTGATGCCATTCCTCAAGTTCCTCTCGGAGCTCCCGGACAATTTCGTAGATTTCTTTGGGAGACATTTTCTGCAGAGCCTTAACAGCATAAAGCTTGCTATATATCCGGCTTCTTATGAGCGTCATGTGGCAAATCTGGCGGAAAAAAGAAGCATTGCCGTGCATTGTAAACTCATCATCGGTATCCACCTCCGGAAAACCGATATCAAGATCGTCTGGATGCTGGGTGGGCGAACTTCCCGTCCGTATGCATGCGCTACACAATTTGTGAGTTAGCCTCTGATGAAACGAAAAAGGATACTATATATTGAACGGGCGTTACCTCTGATCAAGGATATAGGCAACCCAGAATACCCTCTTCCTCTGTTCTTGCTCGGCCTGGGAAAGATGGGATCTGGGAACGTCACGATGGAGCCCCATTCGTTGACAGGCCCGTATGGCTGCTGTTATGATAGGTGATGCTGACTGAGTACCCGAATTTCCTCGAAGAAATAAGGCCATGCCAATAAGGGCCTGCACGCTCAAAATATCGGTCCTCCGTAATGTCAACTCCGCAAAGACCGACATAGCATTTTTGTAATAAAGCCAGGCTTTCTCCCTGTCTTTCTCCGACTTCTGACAGTTGGAAAATCGATATTCGTAAGCTAAAGAGAGGATAATATTGATGCTGGCCCAACGGGCAGCATCATCACACGTCTGTTGCGTATATTGCCATTCAACCAACTGCATAAATGTCGCCTCATGGTACAGTGGAAATAACCGGTTCACTGTGCGAAAATAATCCTTTAATAAGGAGAAAACTTCTGCTCTCGGAGGCAAGGGCTTAAAGACTGTAGACGAAAACACGTCATGGAATACATCTGGCCGCCAGTGATCCCAGGGGCTGTCGTGGTCCTTGTCCTCAAGTAGTAGGGTAAGAAACCTAGAGTCTCCTGTCTTACTCTTAATCCACTCAATCCCATCTCGAGATAAAATGGACAAGAATGAAGATCGTCCTGGTATTTAGTCAACCAACAAGTGCCCTAGAGGAACAACATAAGGGGTATAATATTGCCTGACGTACCATAGTATCGAGAGTCCTCTCTAGGGTCATAGCGGAAGAGGGGTGGCTGGTGTAGGGTACTATCCCAAGGTAGCTTCTGGCTCCGCCCGGCAGGCTTACTCGACAGACCTGAGCCAGACGTGGGGTTCGACTCTTCGTTTGCAACATGTATTGAGTCTTTCGATGTTAGCATACTGCAATCACGGCCCCTCGGACCGCAAGGTTCGTTTTGTGCATGATCAATATCGCTTTCGTCCTCAGAGTTGTCGTTACCATCTTCACCACCGGAATCAAGTTGGCTAATATCTTCGTCGTCTAGAAGACCTGCAGCGCGGAGTAAAGACTCAGTCTTCCTCAAACGTTCTTCTAAGCTTTTCACATAGTTCGTTCTGGAAGAGACCATTTAGCGAAAACAGGCCCTTGAATAGCTGTAGTGAGAGTTGCAGTGATATGCCAATACCTTTTCAGATTATCTCTCTTCTCTTTCCTTGTGGTGAATTTGCACGTTATGTTACGACGCATACATTGAATACAGGCCGTGTTGGAGCCCTCAACTTCGCATTTGACTTTCTTCTTATAACACATCTCACACGCCTGTCAAGACGAACTCAACTAATGCACCTTGTGGCGGGCACAAAGGAATGGTTCTTACCAATGGGTTACGTCTTCGATTTGCAAGACCATGGCCGTTGCTTAATCGCATACCCTGTCGGGCAACGGAAGGGTTGTCCAGCACTCCCCAAGATGGCATAATCCCAGCATCGCGTGCTGGGTTTTGCATATTTCTTTTACTAGATCAAACAGTTGAACCACAGGAAGCGTAAGTAGACCGGGCCCGTGCCCCGGTTTCACCAGATCATGTGTTGGCTAGAAACCCGCGGAGTGGATTTGGCACCGGTCCACTACCAAGACCGTAATGTTGGTAGACCCGACGTTATGTTAGGGTTGAGGATATGATATTTAGGATGATGGGAAAGCATAAAAATAGAAGTTAGAGAAGATGAACCGCGGGGATTTGACGGTCAGTATCAGTTGGATCCCACCAAAGTTGGACAAGGCCGGAGGACGTGGAGGAGCAGACGGGGAAAGCGGGCAAATGATAGGGCCACACAGCTTGGATCTTAACCTGACGGCCCCATTTGGTTCTCTGTTGGAAGCTTTTGCCGCTTATCCGTCAAGATGAATGGACCAGGTATGGCTGCACGAATATCATATATGGTTGGTATATATATACATCGAAAGGGATCATATAGACAAGAAGGAAGTAAAATCCAGAAACGAGAATGAATTTTTTTTTTTCTTACACTCTGGTTTCTTTTTCTGGTGCGGGTTGAAGCGCCATTATTAATGTTCAAGTTGATGTTCCTTTTCCCATTTTATGTCTCGGGAATCGGCGCTTAGCACATCCGATCCGGGCCCACCATATTTCTTGATATCAAAAGGGTCTGAATGTCTAGAACGCTTTGATGATAGAATCACCACTACAAGGCGCAAGTGGTCGCAGTGCACCTATTTATCTCTGTCGAGGAGCTGGTAGTTAGCGGCTAGACCACCCTTGTGAGTACATAACCTGAGGTGCGACTATTCCTTCATTACTAGTGGTCCTTCCGCGTAAACGTATAGAGGCACTTGGCCTTTTGTTTGATTCTTAGAAGCCCGCTGTTGAGCTGAGGATCAAAAGCCACCATGTTATACTTACAGCGAAGAGTAGTCTTCGTGAGTCTTAGTGCCATGCTTTAGTCGGCCCGGAAGCTGCAGAACCCTTGTCCGAATCCGTATATCACATTGTTTCGCTCAGCTTCAATCCATCAGATGTGCCCACTATGACCACGTAAATGTTGTTGGAGTCTACCCCTGATGACACCCCATATGTGTTTGCATACGAATATTGCCTTTTCTTGAAATAGTTTGTCACCAATGGCTAGAAGGGCCCAGCACTGTGCTAGCGATGGTCATTCAGTGGTTTGTCGGGAATCTGTGATAGCTATAAAGCGAGTCCGTGGGTACTCGTCAGAAAGACGGTTATTCTGACGATGGCAGTTTCGAGGGATTGAGCTTCTGTCCGCAATTTAGTCTTTAACTTAGCATCTCCACAACGATACATTGATTCCTTTGTCCGGGGAGTAGAAGCTGAGCTATTGAACTAGATTGCTCCCGAGATGGACCGCGATTCAATCAAAGGCTTTATCCTCCTCTCGGGCACAACGCTACCTTGAGTGGCAACTGAACAGTTCTTGTAGAGCCTGTTTTCTTGTGACTCGAACAATTGATATCGAAGGTCGGCCAGTGTGG